CAAATCACTTTTAGCAACCTGCCATTTAACTATATCCTAGCAAGAATACACACAGACAAATCTCAACATAGTTTAACTACTAGAGAAATTTCAAAATTAACCATCAAAAGACCACTGCCATGAAATCAGCCTGACAACTGGCCTCCCCCTGCAGTTGTCCATTCCCGCGCTGGCTAATGTGCAAAGCCACAACAGCTGGGTAGGTCTCCTACAGGGTCCACCCGGAAGTTAAAAAAGGGCCAAATAGTGAGTGAGCTAGTCTTTTTATACACAGTAGCGAGACTTTTCTGCATTTTTCTGCCAGACTAAATCAAGGTATCGGCCGCCGAACAAACCAAAATTGTCAAGCTGCTGAACAGCAGTCTGTGGCGTTCTCGAGCTTATCACATATCCACCCATTATTTTTGTTGACGTCCCGGCAACTATACAATAGATAACAATTATTGTCTACAAATCCTCCCCCAACTCCTGTTCTACATCCCACAGAGTTACTGGCCATAGCCACCTGGAATAAAATCATCCTCCTGACATCACATAATCATTAATTACTTGCAGCATCATTCGTTAACATACACCTAAAAATAACTGTAATTGACTTATGACCAAAACATGACTCGTCCCAAGGAAACTGGTTCAGGAACGTAAAGTCCCAAATAAGAAATTACATCAAAGATGTCAGTAGTCATGAAACATCCAGTAAACATTTGCGTTCGAGTTTCAGCTACCATATGTAAAATCACTAAAGCCACCCACCCCCCCCCCCCCCCGCCCCCCAACCTCCATCTACATCAATGATGGCGATATCATTGAAACACATTAGCATGTGCGCTGGTGTCCGAGACACCATCAGAGTAGTATAAACCCCATCTAATAATAAACTCCATCTAATCCGCTCCTCGGTAGAACAATGCATTTAAACTCAAACCAAATCATCACTGACACACACAACAAGCAAAACCTACAAAAAAACATGGAACTGAAAAAAAAAAAAAAAAACAGTAATCAGGTAACATTAGGATTCTTGATCAGTTGGGTTTTCTCTCCGACGTCCAGTGATTCTTTGCAGATAAGTTCTCTTAGCTATTTATTGCATAAGCCATGGGGCTTACATTAGACTGAATCCAGTCTTGTCTCGGCCGCATGGCCATCAAGACACATCGGACATTACCTCGGCTTTGCGGAAGCCTACAATACAGAATTCGGTCACTGCATCGGCTCTGGGTGAGTCTACAATGGACATCGGACATAACATCGGCTTCCGGGAAGCATACAATAGATTCAATTCTGTCTCGGCCACACGATCATTGAGAGGCATATCGGACATTACCTCGGCCTACAAACTGACATTTTCTGTCACCACCTCAGCTCTTGGTGAGCCTACAATGGGCACAATGGGCATCGAACATTACGTCGGCTTTGGGGAAGCCTACAGATTGACATTTTTGGTCACTACCTCGACGAAGGCCTACAAATTTTCATTGTCTCAGCGCAAGGCCATTGAGAGACATATCGCACTCTTGTCTCAGCCGTCTGGCCATCAAGAGACATATCACAAATTTTGCCAATGTCTCGGCCACTCGGCCATCGAAAGACAATTTTCTCATCACTGCCAACACTGCTTGGCTTCCGAGTGACATTTCCACCACAATTACCTCGTCTTTGGAGAGGCCTGCAGTGAAATTCGAACAACATTAACTCGGCCGCAGCCTACAATGTATTCACTGGTAACAGCTGTGTTAAAAAACGTCATTGCGTAGCTGGCTTGGTCAGTGTACTTCCCACAATGCTCCCTAACATATGAACAGACCAACAGTTAAACCTTAATACGGAGACAAGATACACAATAAACTGACCCCAAGTTCAGGTCGAGACGTAAACAAGTTACTCCATGGACAATAGACAAAAACCACTCCTAGTTAACAATATTCACAGACCACTCCTAGTCAACAATATTCACAGACCACTCCTAGTCAACAATAGACACAGACCACTGAAAATAACAAACCGTTAAGTAACATCTAATCACACCAAATTAACTACACAGACCACACCTACACAAGTTCTGAACTAAATGTGAATTAACAAGATAATCTGAGCCGACTAGACTTGTCAAATTAAACCACTCCACAACGCTACTCATTCCACATACTTAGGCGCCATTCATTAATTAAATTATGTAACACAGGCATTCAAAGTCTGTGAACAAAGAGAGCATGTGAGCGCCCTTCAAAAATCAATCTAAAACATGAATTACTCTAATTACCCTAACTAAATAGACCAGACACAAAACAAATCATGGCCATCTATACTGCCTGACGAAGCCACTTGTACTAGAAGCAAAAATCCCTAAGTACCAAGAAAAAATAAAGAAAAAGTGAGTTCATTAGGCATGGACTAGAAACATAAATTTTCTAGTCCAGACATGAGATCTTCTGTGGGAAATCTAAAGTTAAAAGTCTTGTCAGTACACCAACACCAGTCGTAAGCATGTGTGGTGTGGACATCGAGAGAACGGACGCCATGGAATACCTAGGCATAACATTTGACAGATTCTTGTTTTACAAGTATCATGTAAACAATGTCATACTTAGAGCAAAGAGAAGTCCGACAGCACTCAAGGTGTCAGCAGCAGCTGATATTGAAAAACGCCTACGTTTCCTTTTTTATCAAGCGTCACTGACAATGGTCTGGCCTGCTCACTGTCAGCTAAACCCAGCAAGAAAGACTGGACCACGTACAAAATGAGGCAATGAGACTCATACTCGGCCGCACAAAAGCTACCTCTTGCAATGCCATGCGATATGTCTTGGCTTTGCCGACAATGGCTAACAGATATGAAGTCCCACATGTCAAGGTGTACATGAGGGTATCAGCAGATATTAACCAGCCACTGCACCAAACTTTACATGACACAAAAGGAATGTGTCTTAAAAGAGGCCGCTGCTGGATGGCCAAGGCTTATTACCACAGCCGACATCCATAGCCTACATATGATACTGCAACATCTAGTTTGAGAATTTAGGTGGAGTCAGTCATCACAGCCATCTGCTAGGTTGAGAACCAGCTGTACATACATTTTATGGTCTTGATGGATCTCACAACATGTTGAGAAAGGTCATGCAGATGTATTCTGAAACAACAGGCAGACGTACACTAGTTCTGCATCACGCTGTGGCAAACTGATGCGCAGCAAGTTAGATTTTAAAAGATCCTTTGGGAGCAAGTGAACTGTGTAGAGGCACAAACAGATCATCACAGTCTGAATTGTGCACGAGGAGTGACCAGAAGACCTAGTTGAAATCCAGCACTCAAGACGCAGGTCAAGAATCATGGCAGTTTAAAGAAATCTTTGTGTCCTGCCACTGAATTTTTGTTACATGTGTCTTGAACTTTGTAAACAGAAAGATGTAATTCTGAAATTGCAGTTGCCCTGGTAAAACAGGCAGACACTTTTGAGTGTCATTGAATTTGTACTTCAATCATGAAGGAATCATTTTATCTAATGCATTTATTTAATTGTTCCTGTAGTATTACTGATTACTGATTTAAAACATCACATTACACCAGGCATCCTCATAGATGCTCCATCTTCCGCAGCAAATGACGTAAGGTGTAGATGCTAACTGTTGTAGTAGCACACTGATTATACACATGCCAATCTCTTCCTCTGATCTGTCCCTTTTTACCGGAACCACACTTAATTCCTTGTTCACACATTCTTGCCCATGTTATTTCATCTAATCTCGTGTCTTCTGCCAAAAGCCGTTCATATATGGTCTTCAGAATATCTATCACCCTTGCTCAATATGAGTGTTCCCATAGCTTTCACTTTTGTGGCCAGATAATCCGCTCTTTCATTCCCTCGCACTCCTGCATGTCCTGGACAGTTTATCCACCTAACTCCCTACAATGTTGGCGTACTGATGTATGGTATCCACTCATGCCCCATTAGTTAATTTTGAAGCTTCCACAATGCCGACTGAGAATCTGACACAATAACTCCTCTGGTAACTTTGTTTTCTGCTATCCACTTCAGGGCTGCAGTGATTGCCTCCACTTTCATTCTCATGCTTGACGTTGTGGATAAAAAAAGCTCCGTTTTTTTCTGCCACAATTTTTTCCTTTATTCAGCTGAAAATTCCTAGCCAGATCTTACACTCCGATGAACAGAACCATCGATGTTCACTACTGCATCACCTAGTCCAGCCTTTCCATCTATCAGTTGTTGTACCTCTAATTCTGCCATACCGTTACAACACTTTCTACATTCTCTTCCTAACGTGATAATGACCTGATGGAAACTACTGTTGTAGGTGTTCTTGTCGATCCATTCCTGCCCCTGTATTTTTGCTTTACTGAAGCCGCGGTCTCGATGGTATCTTCAGCTTGTGCCATCCTTGACTTTCCTCTTTTCAAACGGTCTTTTCTTAAATTGTTCAAATTAGCATGCAGCGGATGCCTTTCATTACTGTAGTATGCACCTAACAGGACACAGCGAAATATGCCAGGCAATACATTGGGCAGTCTATTGTCTCTTCTTTGTTCATATTTACAATGGGAAATATTGCTTTGATATCACATGAATATCAAGTGTGAACAATGTATTGGTGGGTGTGTGAGTCATTGACTATCACATGAGTCTTAAATGTGGACAACATGTGTGTTTGTGTGGGGGTGTGTGTGTGTGCATGTGGGGGTGGAGAGGTGAGTCATTGACCTTCATATGAGTCTCAAGTGTGGACAAGGTGGAGATGGGTGTGTGCATCATTAACTATCATTGGAGTCTCAAATGTGGACAATAAATTTACACAAAACATTAGTTTCTCACTTGAGTCTCAACAAGACATTAGTTTCTCACTTGAGTCTCAACAACACATTAGTTTCTCACTTGAGTCTCAACAAGACATTAGTTTCTCACTTGAGTCTTAACAAGACATTAGTTTCTCACTAGATTTTCAACTGTGGACAATAGGTTTACACAACACATTAGATTCTGATGGTCAGAAATATTTATATTGTAGGAAATGTTTAACTTTTTGTGGCACATTTGTTAGTTCCTCAATGCGATGTATAGCTATGCATGTGAGAATTTTATCTCGACAAATTTCTTGTAAAGAGAACATCCTTCGAATCCGCCACAGTCGGAGGTGGCCATCGCATGAAGTACTTGCCAGGTGTTCTCCATTCTGTGTGAAACTAAGATGCAGAACTGTGGGGGCAAGTGCTTGAACTCTTGGGAGTTGATCCTGGCACAAGGCAGACATTTGAATGTTGTGGACACAAACGAGGCTAAAACTGTCATAGATATCAATGTCAAAGTTGTGGAAACCAACTGCTAAAAACAAACCATCTGGAGTGAAGGTTACACAATCTATGTTTTGTTCAGTTTCTGTGGAGACGACAACCTGGCCAGTGTCAATGTTGACTGTGAGGATTTGTCGGTCAGAAGTGCCCAGCGTGATTATCTGAAACGGTGAACAGGGACAAAAATCAAATGCTTGCGCTGTGGACAACTGTCTGGAGGTCATGTCTGGGCAGACAACAGACAATTTCTGGAGCTGGTATCTCTTGACAACAAACAGGTATCCCTTGTTGGAACTGCCCGCAAGCAACGTGCTGTCTGGAGAAAATTTACACACAACAATGTTGGGTTCGTTGTTGGAGGGAACAAATCCTGGACAAACCGTGTGGCATCGGATTGAGTCATCACAAAACATTATTGAATCTAGAGAATAACTTTCCAGAAAAAATGTTCCCATTCCTCTTTTCAAACAGGCAAAGCTAACTCCATTGTTGGCGATGGCACAGTGGACGTGTACGGCGTTGCAAATATCTCGACTCCGAGAATAAACTGGGTCACCACTTGTAGACATGACAACCACCTCTCCAGTGCCGCAGTAGGCAACCATTTTGCCTAGGGGGTGTGGGTTTACATTTGGAAATACTGAACAGCTTGTGCGGCTAAAGATGCTGCATTCTGTGGATGATCACAGGCAAGGAAGTCAGAAATATTCAATTATTATTCAGATATTAGGGAGAAGAATCAGTACATTTACAAGCAGTTTTCTTCTTCTTCTGCTTCTTTGATCCATCTGTCAGAAACACTTACACAAGGAGACAGGTAGCCTTGATGAAAGCTATTGTGCAGACCGTATCTCACTGTGTACATCACACAGCTTTGTCTTCATTGAGGCTGGAACATGCCAGGTTGCATCTCCATTTGCAGCATACATTTGACAGTGTTGGAGTACATATGCTCAGCATTTTCTAGTGCCAAGTTGCAGGAACATATCTTATCTCTGTGTTTCTTACACCAGAAAGTTTGAACCTATCTTGGTGAGCCTGTTGTTAACAGTCTGAAATAATTTTCTGCCCCTACCTAGAGAGTCAGTCAAGCAAGTCTTGAGGATTCAACAGAAATTTAGTTAACATAAACCAACATTTAGATACTAGTTTCTTTCTGATTAGCTTGACTGTCATGCTGCTAACACAACCAACACAGACTTGATTCCTAAACTGAAACTGGCCAAATGAGGTTTGTGCTAATGTGTGTGTTCAAGATAAAAAAAAGTAGGGGGGGGGGGGGGGGGGGAGGGGGTGGTATTATAAAATCAGCATTAGTCAGTGACATAAGTGGAGTTTTAAAAAAATGAAAACGATAAATTGTGCTGATCCAGTGTGGTCAAAGCAAATAAAGCTTTCTATCTCTTTTCATGTGGGAGACGACCTTAACAGGATCACCAGGTCAGGTCATGAGTTTGTGACCAGCACCAGGGGTCAGGTCATGTTTCTGTGACCAGTGCCAGGGGTCAGGTCATGTGTCTGTAACTAGTGCCAGAGTTCAGCTCCTGTGTTTGTGGCCAGTTCACTTACTTTTTGTTCATATATTTGAGTCCCCACTGAGATGAGAATTTGCCAAATTGATCTGGCTGACTCAAACTTAAATGTGTACTCAGAAAAGTGCTAGAGAGTAAAGGTGGCAGGAATCCTGACCGCCCACTGACTGATGTCTAGAATAATGACCACCCACTAACTAGTGTCTAGAATATTGACCACCCACTGACTGATGTCTAGAATAATGACAACCCACTAACTAGTGTCTAGAATATTGACCACCCACTGACTGATGTCTAGAATATTGACCACCCAGTGACTGATGTCTAGAATATTGACCACCCACTGACTGATGTCTAGAATATTGACCACCCACTGACTGATGTCTAGAATAATGACCACCCACTGACTGATGTCTAGAATATTGACCACCCACTGACTGATGTCTAGAATAATGACCATCCACTGACTGATGTCTAGAATATTGACCACCCACTGACTGATGTCTAGAATATTGACCACCCACTGACTGATGTCTAGAATAATGACCACCCACTGACTGATGTCTAGAATATTGACCACCCCACTGACTGATGTCTAGAATATTGACCACCCACTGACTGATGTCTAGAATATTGACCACCCACTGACTGATGTCTAGAATATTGACCACCCACTGACTGATGTCTAGAATATTGACCACCCACTGACTGATGTCTAGAATAATGACCACCCACTGACTGATGTCTAGAATATTGACCACCCACTGACTGATGTCTAGAATATTGACCACCCACTGACTGATGTCTAGAATATTGACCACCCACTGACTGATGTCTAGAATATTGACCACCCACTGACTGATGTCTAGAATATTGACCACCCACTGACTGATGTCTAGAATATTGACCACCCACTGACTGATGTCTAGAATATTGACCACCCACTGACTGATGACTAGAATATTGACCACCCACTGACTGATGACTAGAATATTGAACACCCACTGACTGATGACTAGAATATTGACCACCAACTGACTGATGACTAGAATATTGACCATCCACTGACTGATGACTAGAATATTGACCACCCACTGACTGATGACTAGAATATTGACCATCCACTGACTGATGACTAGAATATTGACCACCAACTGACTGATGACTAGAATATTGACCATCCACTGACTGATGACTAGAATATTGACCACCCACTGACTGATGACTAGAATATTGACCATCCACTGACTGATGACTAGAATATTGACACCCATTGATTGATGCCTAGAATATTGACCACTCACAGACTGATGACTAGAATATTGACACCCATTGATTGATGACTAGAATATTGACCACCCAGAGACTGCCTAGAAAACTGGGACTAACACCATGCACACTGTAAACTTCAAGACATGGACAAGAACTCTTCACTTGACAAAGTACAGAATGGTTGTGTGAATGCTAGATGCCTCTTCACTTGACAAACTACAAAGTGGTGATGGATGTTTTTGACTTTGTGATGTACAGAATGTGTGAATGGCAAACTTACGCATCTGACCTGAAGATAACAAATCATACATAAGGACTCTTCCGCTGGGTATGCTGGACACTGGCAACCAGTGCCGATACAAACGAGGCTGGTAGACTGAGGTGGTGGTGAACAAACAAGCATCATTAAAGGGAAGGAACTGAGCATCACTCCACCAGAACCAGCTCCTGTCGTCAGAACAACGTTCTGCAATAAGTCAACAAGTACAAGTATAGCACATGTCCCCACGCTGTGAGGCCTACTGGGTTAAATGTCTGTTGTTTCAGTCTGTTACTTGATCAATAAAAACTTTTCCACATTGTTCAAAATGCTGGCACAGTCCTTGCTTATTACCAAACTTTTTTACGTTGTATTATATGGCACACAACATTAAATCCATAGTTGTATATAGCAACCCCAACATGGCAGGCTAGTTGTTACTGGCCCATATTAACATCGTGACACATCAGTCTGACCTATTCATGCTCCATCCTCTGAAACGGCAGCCATCTTAGTGTCTCCATGCTCAACATATTCTGCAGGAGTGGACATATCTTCTTTCGTTGCTAGACATATAAATGTCAAAAATGTCCAGACTTGTGACAGTTATGATCCGCTCAAAATTGGTGGCAACACTATTCCCGAACTTCGCTACGCAGATGACACAGTCCTCCTTCTGAAAAGCGTAAAGGGAATAGAAAATTTAATATTGTCTGTCCAAAAGCACAGTGAAGATCAAAATCTGTTCTTGAATTTAAAGAAAACAAAAGTAATGTCCTCAGATAAAACTGGCTGTCACCCAAAAATAACAATAAATTATAGAGAAATTGAAAATGTCACAAACTTTGAATATCTATGCTCTATAATAAACAGCAATGGAGACTGTTCGACAGAAATTAAAAGGAGGATGGTCATAGCCATTGAACAGCCTTAAAAGTCTATAGTTAAGCTCCAGCAAGGAGATCAAAATTAGAATTTTGAGAACATGCATCTTCCCTGTGGCTACATACAGATGTGAGTCGTAGACTATCTCCCAGTCCTTAAGAAAGAGAATAGGGGCTTTTGAGCTGAAATGCTTTTGAAAGATTCTCAGAATATCTTGGACAAAGAAGAGAAGAAATGCTGACATCTTGAAATGTCTGAACATCAAGGAAGATTGGCTAATAAACAGCATCCTGTCTCGGAAGCTGAAATATCTTGATCATATCAAGTGCCACGACAGATTGGAAAAAATTATAGCAGAAGGCGTGGTACCAGGAAAGAGGGGCAGGGGCTGACCGATACGAAGATAGGCACAGGATATAAATGACCTCTTGAGTATGAAAGTACATGAGGCAGGAGACCTGGCGAATGACCGAGTTTCTTTCAGGCAGACTATGATGAGAGTGACGTTCTGCAAAGGACCTGCCACGTGATGATGATAATGGTCCTCTGCAAGCTCCACCACATCCTACTGGCTAAACCTGTCACATCCTACTGGCTAACCTGTCACATCCTACTGGCTAAACCTGTCACATCCTACTGGCTAAACCTGTCACATCCTACTGGCTAAACCTGTCACATCCTACTGGCTAACCTGTCACATCCTACTGGCTAACTAGCTAACCTGTCACATGCTACTGGCTAACTAGCTAACCTGTCACATGCTACTGGCTAACTAGCTAACCTGTCACATGCTACTGGCTAACCTGTCACATCCTACTGGCTAACCTGTCACATCCTCCTGGCTAAACCTGCCTCATCCTACTGGCTAAACCTGTCACATCCTACTGGCTAAACTGCCACATCCTACTAGCTAACCTGTCACATCCTACTGGCTGAACCTGCCACATCCTTCTGGCTAAACTTGTCACATCCTACTGGCTAAACCTGTCACATCCTACTGGCTAAACCTGTCAATTCCTACTGGCCAAACCTGTCACATCCTACTGGCTAAACCTGTCACATCCTACTGGCTAAACCTGCCACATCCTACTGGCTAAACCTGTCACATCCTACTGGCTAAACCTGTCACATCCTACTGGCTAAACCTGCCACATCCTACTGGCTAAACCCGTCACATCCTACTGGCTAAACCTGTCACATCCTACTGGCTAAACCTGTCACATCCTACTGGCTAAACCTGTCACATCCTACTGGCTAAACCTGTCACATCCTGCTGGCTAAACCTGTCACATCCTACTGCTAAAGCTGTCACGTCCCACTGGCTAAACCTGTCACATCCTACTGGCTAAACCTGTCACATCCTACTGGCTAAACCTGCCACATCCTACTGGCTAAACCTGTCACATCCTACTGGCTAAACCTGTCACATCCGACTGGCTAAACATGCAACATCCTATTGGCCAACTAGCTAACCTGCCACATGCTACTGGCTAAACCTGCCACATCCCACTGGCTAAACCTGCCACATCCTACTGGCTAACTTGCCATATCCTACTGGCTAACCTGCCACATCCTACTGGCTAACTAATTAACCTGCCACATCCTACTGGCTAACCTGCCACAGCCTACTGGCTGACTAGCTAACATGCCACATTCTAATGGCTACCTAGCTAACCTGCCACATCCTACTGGCTAAACCTGCCATATCCTACTGGCTAACCTGCCACATCCTACTGGCTAAACCTGTCACATCCTACTGGCAAACCTGCCACATCCTACTGGCTAACTAGCTAACCTGCTACATCCTACTGGCTACCTAGCTAACCTGCCACATCCTACTGGCTAACCTGCCACATCCTACTGGCTAAACCTGCCACATCCTACTGGCTAATCTGCCACATCCTACTGGCTAACCTGTCACATCCTACTGGCTAACCTTCCAGATCCTACTGGCTAACCTGCCACATCCTACTGGCTAACCTGCCACATTCCACTGGCTAATCTGCCACATCCTACTGGCTAATCTGCCACATCCTACTGGCTAAACCTGCCACATCCTACTAGCTAAACCTGCCACATCCTACTGGCTAAACCTGCCACATCCTACTGGCTAACTAGCTAACCTGCCACATCCTACTGGCTAAACCTGTCACATCCTACTGGCTAAACCTGTCACATCCTACTGGCTAAACCTGTCACATCCTACTGGCTAAACCTGTCACATCCCACTGGCTAAACCTGTCACATCCTACTGGCTAAACCTGCCACATCCTACTGGCTAAACCTGTCACATCCTACTGGCTAAACCTGTCACATCCTACTGGCTAAACATGCAACATCCTACTGGCCAACTAGCTAACCTGCCACATGCTACTGGCTAAACCTGCCACATCCCACTGGCTAAACCTGCCACATCCCACTGGCTAAACCTGCCACATCCTACTGGCTTACCTGCCACATCCTACTGGCTAACCTGCCACATCCTACTGGCTAACTAATTAACCTGCTACAACCTACTGGCTAACCTGCCACAGCCTACTGGCTGACTAGCTAACATGCCACATCCTAATGGCTACCTAGCTAACCTGCCACATCCTACTGGCTAAACCTGCCATATCCTACTGGCTAACCTGCCACATCCTACTGGCTAAACCTGCCACATCCTACTGGCTAAACCTGTCACATCCTACTGGCTAACTAGCTAACCTGCCACATCCTACTGGCTAAACCTGTCACATCCTACTGGCTAAACCTGTCACATCCTACTGGCTAAACCTGTCACATCCTACTGGCTAAACCTGTCACATCCTACTGGCTAAACCTGTCACATCCTACTGGCTAAACCTGTTACATCCTACTGGCTAAACCTGCCACATCCTACTGGCTAAACCCGTCACATCCTACTGGCTAAACCTGTCACATCCTACTGGCTAAACCTGTCACATTCTACTGGCTAAACCTGTCACATCCTACTGGCCAAACCTGTCACATCCTGCTGGCTAAACCTTTCACATCCTACTGGCTAAACCTGTCACATCCTACTGGCTAAACCTGTCACATCCTACTGGCTAAACCTGTCACATCATACTGGCTAAACCTGCCACATCCTACTGGCTAAACCTGTCACATCCTACTGGCTAAACCTGTCACATCCTACTGGCTAAACATGCAACATCCTACTGGCCAACTAGCTAACCTGCCACATGCTACTGGCTAAACCTGCCACATCCCACTGACTAAACCTGCCACATCCTACTGGCTAACCTGCCACATCCTACTGGCTAACCAGTCACATCCTACTGGCTAACTAATTAACCTGCCACATCCTACTGGCTAACCTGCCACAGCCTACTGGCTGCCACAACTGGCTAACCTGCCACATCCTAATGGCTACCTACTAACTGCCACATCCTACTGGCTAACTGGCTACATACTACTAACCTGCCACATCCTACTGGCTAAACCTGCCATATCCTACTGGCTAACCTGCCACATCCTACTGGCTAAACCTGCCACATCCTACTGGCTAACCTGCCACATCCTACTGGCTAACTAGCTAACCTGCCACATCCTACTGGCTAACTAGCTAACCTGCCACATCCTACTGGCTAACTAGCTAACCTGCCACATCCTACTGGCTAACCTGCCACATCCTACTGGCTAAACCTGCCACATCCTACTGGCTAATCTGCCACATCCTACTGGCTAAACCTGCCACATCCTACTGGCTAACCTGTCACATCCTACTGGCTAACCCTTCAGATCCTACTGGCTAACCTGCCACATTCCACTGGCTAATCTGCCACATCCTACTGGCTAATCTGCCACATCCTACTGGCTAAACCTGCCACATCCTACTGGCTAAACCTGCCACATCCTACTAGCTAAACCTGCCACATCCTACTGGCTAAACCTGCCATATGCTACTGGCTAAACCTGCCACATCCTACTGGCTAAACCTGCTACATGCTACTGGCTAAACCTGCCACATCCTTCTGGCTAAACCTGCCACATCCTACTGGCTAAACCTGTCACATCCTACTGGCTAAACCTGCCACATCCTACTGGCTAACCTGTCATATCCTACTTGCTAACTAGCTAACCTGCCACATCCTACTAGCTAACTAGCTAACCTGCCACATCCTACTGGCTAACTAGTTAACCTGCCACATGCTACTTGCTAATCTGCCACATCCTACTGGCTAACTAGCTAACCTGCCACATCCTACTGGCTAACCTGCCACATCCTACTGGCTAAACCTGCCACATCCTACTGACTAAACCTGCCACATCCTACTGACTAAATCTGCCACATCCTACTGGCTAAACCTGCCACATCCTACTGGCTAACCTGTCACATCCTACTGGCTAACCTGCCACATCCCACTGGCTAAACATGCCACATCCTACTGGCTAAACATGCCACATCCTACTGGCTAAACCTGCCACATCCTACTGGCTAAACCCGTCACATCCTACTGGCTAAACCTGTCACATCCTACTGGCTACAACCTGTCACAACCTACTGGCTAAACCTAACCTGCCACATCCTACTGGCTAAACCTGCCACATCCTACTGGCTAAACCCTGCCACATCCTACTGGCTAAACCTGCCACATCCTACTGGCTAGCTAATCTGCCACATCCTACTGGCTACACCTGTCACATCCTACTGGCTAAACCTGTCACATCCTACTGGCTAAACCTGTCACATCCTACTGGCTAACCTGCCACATCCTACTGGCTAAACCTGCCACATCCTACTGGCTAACCTGCCACATCCTACTGGCTAACTAGCTAACCTGCCACATCCTACTGGCTAACTAGCTAACCTGCCACATCCTACTGGCTAACCTGCCACATCCTACTGGCTAAACCTGCCACATCCTACTGGCTAATCCTGCCACATCCTACTGGCTAACCTGCCACATCCTACTGGCTAACCTGTCACATCCTACTGGCTAACCTGCCACATCCTACTGGCTAACCTGCCACATTCCACTGGCTAATCTGCCACATCCTACTGGCTAATCTGCCACATCCTACTGGCTAAACCTGCCACATCCTACTGGCTAAACCTGCCACATCCTACTAGCTAAACCTGCCACATCCTACTGGCTAAACCTGCTACATCCTACTGGCTAACCTGCCACATCCTACTGGCTAACTAGCTAACCTGCCACATCCTACTGGCTAAACCTGCCATATGCTACTGGCTAAACCTGCCACATCCTACTGGCTAAACCTGCTACATGCTACTGGCTAAACCTGCCACATCCTTCTGGCTAAACCTGCCACATCCTACTGGCTAAACCTGTCACATCCTACTGGCTAAACCTGCCACATCCTACTGGCTAACCTGTCATATCCTACTTGCTAACTAGCTAACCTGCCACATCCTACTGGCTAACTAGCTAACCTGCCACATCCTACTGGCTAACTAGTTAACCTGCCACATGCTACTTGCTAATCTGCCACATCCTACTGGCTAACTAGCTAACCTGCCACATCCTACTGGCTAAACCTGCCACACATACCTAAACTGCCACTAAAACCTGCCACATCCTACTGACTAAACCTGCCACATCCTGGCTAACCTGACTAAATGCCACATCCTACTGGCTAACCTGCCACATCCTACTGGCTAACCTGCCACATCCTACTGGCTAAACATCCTACTGGCTAACCTGCCACATCCTACTTGCTAACCTGTCACATCCTACTGGCTAAACCTGCCACACATCCTACTGGCTAAACATGCCTACTGGCTAACTAGCTAACCTGGCTAAAAACCTGCCACATCCTACTGGCTAACCTGCCACATCCCACTGGCTAAACATGCCACATCCTACTGGCTAAACATGCCACATCCTACTGGCTAAACCTGTCACATCCTACTGGCTAAACATGCCACATCCTACTGGCTAACCTGCCACATGCTACTGGCTAACCCTGCCACATCCTACTGGCTAACTAGCTAACCTGCCACATCCTACTGGCTAACCTGCCACATCCTACTGGCTAACCTGCCACATCCTACTGGCTAACTAGCTAACCTGCCACATCCTACTGGCTAACCTGCCACATCCTACTGGCTAACTAGCTAACCTGCCACATCCTACTGGCTAACCTGCCACATCCTACTAGCTAACCTGCCACATCCTACTGGCTAACCTGCGAGCCCAGTGACCAGTCTCATTTACTAGAGTCCATTTCTCAACAAAGTCAGTAATTAGCAGCAGACTAAAAGTTCTATTAACAGACAGGTTGCAATGTTTGAACTTACGCAGTTTGTCAGGAAGGATATGTGTATCTAGCAGAAGACCACCTTTGCCTGATGACCATCCATCTTTTGGGAAAGTGACATACGGTGCTAGAGGATAACAGCGCTGAGACTGTGACTGCGCACACAAAACATGTTTGATTGTTGCAGTCTGACAACCCATCTTGGCAGAAAGACTTCCAACTTGACAATTAAAGCTGGCCATGCCACCATTAATAGTGAAGTGGTGTGGTGCATGTACATTCTCATTCTCCATGGAGCTGTTACCTGCACAATAGACATCACTAAACATTATATACATTTACTGCAGCTGACACATAAATTAAAAAGAAACAACTATTGTAAAGCTCAAGCAAAAGCAGTGTGCTACAAGATAAATAATAATTGAAGCAACAAAAATGAAAAACACACATTAGTTATTTCTTGATCTTCTTCTGCTACTTGTCAAAAAACATTACAAGCACTGTCTGCCCACATGAATCACACACTGGTGTGGCATGTCTAGGGAAACCGTGTCAAAGTGAACTAAAGGCAATGTGGTGACAGAGATTTTTGGCAGGTGTAGAGAAGAGAGCGACAGAAGCCAGCAATGTGGTGACATAGATTTTTGGTAGGTGTAGTGAAGGTAGCAACAGAAGCCAGCAATGTGGTGACAGAGATTTTTGGCAGGTGTAGAGAAGAGAGCGACAGAAGCCAGCAATGTGGTGACATAGATTTTTGGTAGGTGTAGTGAAGGTAGCAACAGAAGCCAGCAATGTGGTGACAGAGATTTTTGGCAGGTGTAGAGAAGGTAGCAACAGAAGCCAGCAATGTGGTGACAGAGATTTTTGGCAGGTGTAGAGAAGAGAGCAACAGAAGCCAGCAATGTGGTGACAGAGATTTTTGGCAGGTGTAGAGAAGGTAGCAACAGAAGCCAGCAATGTGGTGACAGAGGTTGTTGGCAGGTGTAGAGAAGAGAGCGACAGAAGCCAGCAATGTGGTGACAGAGATTTTGGGCAGGTGTAGAGAAGGTAGTAACAGAAGCCAGCAATGTGGTGACAGAGATTTTTGGCAGGTGTAGAGAAGGTGCAACAGAAGCCAGCAATGTGGTGACAGAGATTTTTGGCAGGTGTAGAGAAGAGAGCAACAGAAGCCAGCAATGTGGTGACAGAGGTTTTTGGCAGGTGTAGAGAAGGCAGCAACAGAAACCAGCAATGTGGTGACAGAGATTTTTGGCAGGTGTAGAGAAGAGAGCGACAGAAGCCAGCAATGTGGTGACAGAGGTTTTTGGCAGGTGTAGAGAAGAGAGCGACAGAAGCCAGCAATGTGGTGACAGAGGTTTTTGGTAGGTGTAGAGAAGGTAGCAACAGAAGCCAGCAATGTGGTGACAGGTTTTTGGCAGGTGTAGAGAAGAGAGCGACAGAAGCCAGCAATGTGGTGACAGAGATTTTTAGCAGGTGTAGAGAAGAGAGCGACAGAAGCCAGCAATGTGGTGACAGAGGTTTTTGGCAGGTGTAGAGAAGAGAGCGACAGAAGCCAGCAATGTGGTGACAGAGATTTTTGGCAGGTGTAGAGAAGAGAGCGACAGAAGCCAGCAATGTGGTGATAGAGGTTTTTGGCAGGTGTAGAGAAGGTAGCAACAGAAGCCAGCAATGTGGTGACAGAGGATTTTGGTAGGTGTAGAGAAGGTAGCAACAGAAGCCAGCAATGTGGTGACAGAGATTTTTGGCAGGTGTAGAGAAGAGAGCGACAGAAGCCAGCAATGTGGTGATAGAGGTTTTTGGTAGGTGTAGAGAAGTTAGCAACAGAAGCCAGCAATGTGGTGACAGAGATTTTTGGCAGGTGTAAAGAAGATAGCAACAGAAGCCAGCAATGTGGTGACATAGCAACAGAAGCCAGCAATGTGGTGACAGAGATTTTTGGCAGGTGTAGAGAAGGTAGCAACAGAAGCCAGCAATGTGGTGACAGAGCTTTTTGGCAGGTGTAGAGAAGATAGCAACAGAAGCCAGCAATGTGGTGACAGAGGTTTTTGGAAGGTGTAGAGAAGGTAGCAACAGAAGCCAGCAATGTGATGACAGAGGTTTTTGGCCGGTGTAGAGAAGGTAGCAACAGAAGCCAGCAATGTGGTGACAGAGATTTTTGGCAGGTGTAGAGAAGGTAGCAACAGAAGCCAGCAATGTGGTGACAGAGGTTTTTGGCAGGTGTAAAGAAGATATCAACAGAGGCCAGCAATGTGGTGACAGAGGTTTTGGGCAGGTGTAGAGAAGGTAGTGACAGAAGCCAGCAATGTGGTGACAGAGGTTTTTGGCAGGTGTAGGAAAGGTAGCAACAGAAGCCAGCAATGTGGTGACAGAGGTTTTTGGCAGGTGTAGAGAAGAGAGCGACAGAAGCCAGCAATGTGGTGACATAGATTTTTGGTAGGTGTAGTGAAGGTAGCAACAGAAGCCAGCAATGTGGTGACAGAGGTTTTTGGCAGGTGTAGAGAAGGTAGCAACAGAAGCCAGCAATGTGGTGACAGAGGTTTTTGGCAGGTGTAAAGAAGATATCAACAGAGGCCAGCAATGTGGTGACAGAGGTTTTGGGCAGGTGTAGAGAAGGTAGTGACAGAAGCCAGCAATGTGGTGACAGAGGTTTTGGGCAGGTGTAGAGAAGAGAGCGACAGAGGCCAGCAATGTGGTGACAGAGGTTTTTGGCAGGTGTAGAGAAGAGAGTGACAGAAGCCAGCAATGTGGTGACAGAGATTTTTGGCAGGTGTAGGGAAGGTAGCAACAGAAGCCAGCAATGTGGTGACAGAGGTTTTTGGCAGGTGTAGAGAAGAGAGCGACAGAAGCCAGCAATGTGGTGACATAGATTTTTGGTAGGTGTAGAGAAGGTAGCAACAGAAGCCAGCAATGTGGTGACAGAGATTTTTGGCAGGTGTAGAGAAGGTAGCAACAGAAGCCAACAATGTGGTGACAGAGATTTTTGGCAGGTGTAGAGAAGAGAGCAACAGAAGCCAGCAATGTGGTGACAGAGGTTTTTGGCAGGTGTAGAGAAGGTAGCAACAGAAGCCAGCAATGTGGTGACAGAGGTTTTTGGCAGGTGTAGAGAAGAGAGCGACAGAAGCCAGCAATGTGGTGACAGAGATTTTGGGCAGGTGTAGAGAAGGTAGCAACAGAAGCCAACAATGTGGTGACAGAGGTTTTTGGCAGGTGTAGAGAAGAGAGCGACAGAAGCCAGCAATGTGGTGACAGAGATTTTGGGCAGGTGTAGAGAAGGTAGCGACAGAAGCCAGCAATGTGGTGACAGAGGTTTTTGGCAGGTGCAGGGAAGAGAGCGACAGAAGCCAGCATCAAGCGCTTTTTAGTGAAAAGGGCGACAGACTGAAGAGGGGGAAATCGTGGCTAGGTCGGACAGAAGATGTTATTAGGCAAATATGCAGCCTAACCGACATCATACCTGGTGCAGAATGGATACCTGTGCCTCAGGCGTTTATTTGTACATTTTCCTGTATTGTCACACTCAACAAGCGATGTAGAGAAGAGAATCCTGTTGCTGTTAATGCAGAGGTCAACGCTCTCATCGGTGAAAATTCAGACGAAGCAGATGCAATAATCTATACAGACGGATCCGTTATACGCCAAAGAAGAAGCGCATGGGCATTTACAGCACGCTCAGCGGGCAGAACAGTCAAAGAAGCCAACGGCGCCTTCTCCATGACAACCAGCAGCATGACGATGGAGGTGATGGCAGTGACACAAACGCTTGCCTGGCTTGAAACACAAAAATACACCCGCGTGTATACTCAGTGATTAAATGAGTATCATCCGGAGGGTTCAGGCAGGTTCAGTGCGAAGACAATGGCTTGAATCATTACAGAAGTCCACTGTTCGTGGAGTCACCTTTATTTTTGTTTCGGGACACCCAGGCGTCGATGGAAATGAAAGAGCTGACAGGTTGGCTGGATCCGCTATCACTACCGACGGTCAGCCTATGGATCATGCTGATATTATCAATACCCTCAGAGAAATGGGAGGACTTTGGTGGCAGTGAATCCACATCACTCGCCAGAATGGCAGACTTGGGAATTAAGATCGGCACAGCAAAAAACGAGACGCACACCAGCTACGCCAGAAGACTTGTTTATCAACATAGAACTGGTACTATTAGCCATCGGACGTTGGGGTTCATACTGAGGGGAGGATCTGAGCACCTATGGACATGTCCGGAGTGCAATGAGGATAACCCAACTAACTAACTAACTAAAGAAGCCAGCAATGTGGTGACAGAGGTTTTTGGCAGGTGCAGGGAAGAGAGCGACAGAAGCCAGCAATGTGGTGACAGAGGTATTTGGCAGGTGTAGAGAAGAGAGTGACAGAAGCCAGCAATGTGGTGACAGAGATTTTTGGCAGGTGTAGAGAAGGTAGCAACAGAAGCCAGCAATGTGGTGACAGAGCTTTTTAGCAGGTGTAGGGAAGGTAGCAACAGAAGCCAGCAATGTGGTGACAGAGGTTTTTGGCAGGTGTAGAGAAGGTAGTGACAGAAGCCAGCAATGTGGTGATAGAGGTTTTTGGCAGGTGTAGAGAAGGTAGTGACAGAAGCCAGCAATGTGGTGATAGAGGTTTTTGGCAGGTGTAGAGAAGGTAGTGACAGAAGCCAGCAATGTGGTGATAGAGGTTTTTGGCAGGTGTAGGGAAGAGAACGACAGAAGCCAGCAATGTGGTGACAGAGGTATTTGGCAGGTGTTGAGAAGAGAGCGACAGAAGCCAGCAATGTGGTGACAGAGGTTTTTGGCAGGTGTAGAGAAGAGAGCAACAGAAGCCAGCAATGTGGTGACAGAGGTTTTTGGCAGGTGTAGAGAAGAGAGCGACAGAAGCCAGCAATGTGGTGACAGAGGTATTTGGCAGGTGTAGAGAAGAGAGCGACAGAAGCCAGCAATGTGGTGACAGAGGTATTTGGCAGGTGTAGAGAAGAGAGTGACAGAAGCCAGCAATGTGGTGACAGAGGTTTTTGGCAGGTGTAGGGAAGGTAGTAACAGAAGCCAGCAATGTGGTGACAGAGGTTTTTGGCAGGTGTAGAGAAGGTAGTAACAGAAGCCAGCAATGTGGTGATAGAGGTTTTTGGCAGGTGTAGGGAAGAGAACGACAGAAGCCAGCAATGTGGTGACAGAGGTTTTTGGCAGGTGTTGAGAAGAGAACGACAGAA